CACAGAAAAACAGACTTTTCCCTTAACTATTTTTATGGGATTTATCAATATTTAAAAAAAAAAAAAAAAAACCAATTAGAAAAGTTTTGAAATAATGTGGAGGAAAAAAAAATGTTGGGAAGGAAAAAAAAAAACATTATTTTATTGCACTCAGTGGCCAAAAAAGGTAGGTTGGACAAGATAAAAAGGAGGAACAGGAATCTTTATTTATAGTTTTTTGAAGATGAGATGTCCATATATGTTCCAATTCTTGCCCACATATATACCACAAGAAGAAGAATGCATTTTTTTGTGGCTAGCAGTGGCCTTTAGGCTGTGACTGCACTGTAGATGTCATAGAATCATAGAACACTAGAACTGGAAGGGACCACGGGAGGTCAACAAGTCCAGTATCCTGCCCTTACAACAGGACTGAGCACCCTCTAGACCAGTTTTTCTTAAACTTTTTGAGACCACGGAACACCAAACAATAATACTTTTTTATGTGGAACACCTATGAAAATGTTCTTCAAAAAAAATAATTGACAAAAACAAATTGACAAAAAAAACCCGACAACAACAAAGAAGTCACAAAAACAAAGAAGACGTTGTGGCACACCTGCGAGTTGTTCACTGAACACCAGAGTTCCGCGGAACATAGCTAAAGTGTTGTTCACGGAACATCAGTGTTCCGTGGAATATAGTTTAAGAAACACTGGTCTAGACCATCCCTGAGAGATGTCTATCTAACCTGCTCTTAAATATCTCCAGTGATGGAGATTACACAGCCTCTGGACCACGGATGCTGCCAGACCGGAGAGATCCAAACCAGAGAGGTTCAACGTATATATAGACATATACCTAGAGGAGAGCAGAAGATCTAGTACTTTGTGGGATTTTTCTTGCACTTCCTCCACAGAAAATTTCTAAGGAGTCTGCCATGCAGTCTAAGGTGACTTAGAAGGGCTAGGAGTAGAAGGGATAACTGCCTCATTACTTGAAAACAAAGATATTGCTGCTGGAAATAACTGATACTCCATTTTCTGCATGTGTTCTTCCTACTAAGTTGACATTTTCTACCATAGCAAAATGAAAACTGACCAGCATTTTAGGTCTCCCCACAGCTATTCAGAACCCTGGTCATGACCATGAGAGCTAGGCAGCAGCCTGGGGACTAAGTGGTTAACTGTACCTAAGCAGGTATCTGCTCAGCCAATAGAATGGGAATGGGAATCTGATGTCTGTGCATTTAAAAATGGGTTTTCCTCTCCTTTGTAATTAAGCTTTTGGCTCAGGGGAGTCCCCCCATGAGTGTATAAATTGGTGACTTTTTCCATCTAGTCATGCTTGTAACAGGAGTGTTGTGGTGATGCGCTTCTTTCTGCAAGACCTGGCCAGGGCTGTGCTCTCACCCTCTCTGGCCCCACTGGGGCTGGACTTCCTGCCGCCAGCCCAACTCGGGCTGTGCTTCTAAACTTGTCTAGCTGGGGCTCTCTGGTCCAGCAGTATCAGTGGTCCTGCCAGACCAGAGTGTCCCAGATTTTAGAGGTTCAACCTAGAAATGTTTTTCAGAAAATATTAAGTGCACAAAAATAAGTGCCTTCTCAGTCTTAACCATTACACTGACACATCATATGCAAAGTAATGCACATGTTATAATTAAAACACACCCCAAAACAGACTAAGGTGACAAAGATCACAGAACATGTCTTGTATACACTTCTTAAAAAGCTTTTGAAATATAACATAAAACCTTACCACATATGGCAGTGGTGGCTCCCAGTGCATCCAATCATAATTCACATTGTTGCCTTCACGCCCTACATATTTTGCCCAAGGTGAAATACGATAGAGAATCTCTCCATTTTTACTACGGATCACCACCTAGAAAATAAAATAAGGACACAATAACTTCATATATACACAAGCACTCAAAGTCCATTCTCAATAATAAGAGATTAAGAAGATTCTCATAACTCATACATCATAACAAAAATGAGCAAGTATTTTTCATAAGTTAGAAGGGAACAGTGGCAATCCATATTTGATTCTGTTAACATAGTAAAAAGTTGCGTTTTTATATTAAAACTGGGCTTCCTGGTCATCACTTGCAAAGATGGGTTAAGCACAACAAACCCAACAGAAATAGGAACACATCTAGTGAGAACCCATGCATTTGAACATTAATAATACAAGTAATGTAAATGGGGGTTGTACCATCTGTAGCTCCTGTAGACAGCACACACATCAGGGCCTCCTTGAATTCCCTCATTGTCTCCACTACACTGTGTGTCACCTCCCATCTCCCTCTATTTCTGGGGCTCCCTAGAATTTTTCCCCTTTTCTCACGCTAGGAACAATGTGCCCTGTACATGCTATCACCACAGACACCCCCCGCCCCAAGAAATGGTCTATATTTTGGCCTCTGTTTCCAAACAAACAAATGCCAATGCCATTCCAAATGCTGATGGCCAATAAAGCTGTCAGCTATTCCTCTGGATATTACCACTATAAACTGATTTTTAGTAATGATTCCTAGCTCTTGTATAGCTCTTTCATAGTTTAGAACAAAGGTGGGGTGACAGACTCATAGACTTTAAAGTCAGAAGGGACCATTATGATCATCTAATCTGACCCCCTGCATTGTGCAGGCCACATTAGATCAATCAGTTGCTTATGAACAGCACATTCACATGCAACAACGTCCCTACCATGGAGGATCAAGCTTGTCATAGTAAAAGGGCAGAAGAACATTCTTGACGTACACCAGTGTTTCCCAACCTCTGGTACAAATACCCTTAGAGGTACTCGAGCGAAGTTTGGGGGGTACATCAACAACTGAAAATTGGAGAAAACTGAATTTTTAGTTTAAGTTTTACAGCACTTGATTATTTTTGTACTTTCTACATCCAAAAATTTCATTGCCCACCCGGCTACGATTAAGTTGTTTAAATAAATGTGTTGCAGTGGTAGAAAAAAAACTTGTGTGTCTGAAAACTGTAAGTACTGGGGTACTTAAAAAAGGGGGGGGCACTTTTTTTTAAATAAAGGTTGAGAAACACTGCCCTACACTCCACAAACAATGGGGACTCCATGGCTTCTCTATACATTTGGTGATAAGAGATGGAGACGAAGCAAGGACATTGTCCATCCTTAAAAGATTCAGAGATGTGTTTCTTTTTGCAGATACAGACTATGAAAAGTTCTGTGGCACTTTAGAGACTTACAGATTTATTAGGGAGTAAGATTTCGTGGATATTTGTGGGAATATTTTTGTTGTCCTTAGACATACCCATGCATGTGTAAACCCCACTCCAATTCATGAAGTCCCTTTTACCCGTGAAAGTTTATGCCCTACTAAATCTGGGTATGTCTACACTACAGCACTAATTCGAACTAACTTAGTTCGAATTAGTTAATTTGAACTAACGCATCTAGAACTAAAAACTAGTTCGAATTAACATTTTGCTAATTCGAACTAGCATGTCCACATTAAGTGAACACATTAAGGATGGCCGGAAGCAGTGCCGGCAGGGCATCAGAGGAGGACTTAGAGTGTGGAGATGCTGTCTAAGGCTAGCCGAGGGCTGCGCTTAAAGGGACCCGACCCCCACCCCGGACAGACAGTTCTCAGGGGTGCCCTGCTTGCAAACCAGTCCTGGCTTGGAGTGCTCGGAGTGCCCACACTGGGCACATCACAGCACTCGGCCATCAGATCGGCTGCACTTGCCGCAGGCTGCCATCTGGGGAGAGGGGGCAATCAGGGGCTGCAGGAGAGCTTCCACCCCCAGAAGCCCGCAGAGCCAGCCCAGTCCTCCCCATCGGGGGCTCGTACCCCATTCCTCCCTCACCTCCTTCCACTTACCCTTCCGTAGCCCCTTTTCTTGATGTACAACATAAAGGACAATTGTGTTCAAAAATGGAATCTGTCTTTATTGAACAAAACTGGGGGAGACTGGGAAAAGGAGGTGGGAGAGGGGAAGAGAGAGGGTGGGAGAGGGGAGGGCAACTAAAATGATCAGGGATTGGGAACAGGTCCCATATGAAGAGAGGCTAAAGAGACAGACTTTTCAGCTTAGAAAAGAGGAGACGGAGGGGGGACAGGATAGAGGTCTCTAAAAGCAGGAGTTGGGTGGAGAGGGTGCAT